ATTTTTACAATTTCAATGTCAACATGTTGGGGCGAAGGCCGAGTGTTGGGGGTTTCGTCATTGAATGGCTGTTTTTGAAGTTAACTAAAAATAAACATACACGTTAAGTGAAAAGAAAAAAAAAAAAAAAAAAACATAGTATGTATACGCCGCGTGACCAGGCTTCAAGTTACCTATACAAAAAATACTCATTCGCTATGAGGATCGGGAAATGCCAAGGCGTGGCAAGACTGAAATGAAAAACAAGGCAAACAAAATAAGGATGCGAATAAATGCAAATAGCAAGTTGCCACAAAATGATTTGCCACGGCACGCACCGTCGGAACCAAGAAGAGGGATTTGCCAACGGGGCCAAAAAAAAAAAAAAAAAAAAAAAATACTAATAAAAAAACAAAAGGAGTTGGTTGAAGAAACGAAACACCATGTCGGTGGCACATTAAAAAATCATTTTCAATAACGCGCTCCACTGCCAGGTGTGTACCCACCCCGCTGGCAACTCAATTGTTTGCATTTTGCATGCATTGACAGACAGGGCACACCGGGGACCTGGCCACGTCCACGCCCACTCCCACGCCCACACCCACTCGCCCATCTTCAACCAGTCTCCATTCTCCGGATACAGATGTTATATATGGGGATGTTAGACGCTGTCAAACACTCACTTGCCACTCCGGCTTTCTCCTTTTAACTGGATTTGTTTTTCTTGGACGTACGCCTTACCTTGAGGACGATCAAAAAACAACTTGCCAACAGGAAAAAAAAAAGGATTCGAAAGAAACAAAAGATCAAGCACCTGAACAAAGGCATACAGTGTATGCCATTTTGCAAGTTGTTCGAATTGGATTTGCCATAAATAAACCAAATGTCTCTGGGCCACAGGATTTTCGCTAAAGTCAAAGTCCATAAATCAAGAGCAGACAAATCCGTATAAGCAATTGGCTAACAACATTTAACTTTGAAGGACTGCCACATAACCATTTGTATGACAATTAACAGAGCGACCAACTTTTTTCACAGCCTATTAGCGGCCAACAATTTGTTCAATAAGCCAATTAAAATACAATTTATACGAATTGTAATTTGAGTAAGCGACGAACTTTTGCCGAACAATTCAGTGGGTGACAGTTTGTAAGCTATAATTTTGTAGCCTAGAGGTATGTAATAATTTTTAATGCGCTCGAATAGGATGCAGAAACGCCGTAAAGCAGATTTAAATTAAAACCGTTTAGGGCCAACAAAAATGGATATTTAATGTTTTTGTAGACTAGTGTATTTGAATAACTATGTCAATAAGAATTGTTGTTATGCTTGAGTTTCTAACTATAACTTTGGTTAAATTGCATTTTGGACTTCTTTCGGTCAGATACACAAACGGTTAAACGTACAGTTCTTTAAATCAACATTTATACAATTATTATGGTAAATGAGTATTGTTACCACGTTTTTGACTTGGACAAAATGTGATTAACGTTTGTTTCTCTCACTCATATAATACTTATATGAACGAAATGGTGGATGAGCAGAGATGGCTTAACCTAATTAGACATACCTTTTGAAATTCATTGCATAACAATTTTACTTAGTAGTTCGCCTGAAGGTATGCAATAATTTGTGCTACGCAAAAAAGGGGACTAAGCTTTTGCGTAAAAAAAAAAATAAAAATATGTATATCCAACAAGGCGGGGAATAAATCTGAAGGACGACGACGATAGCGACAACAATGTGGCCTTGGCAAACGACATTTGCGCTGCCATTAATGTCCGCGTATTGAGACCCGTCTAATTGCATTGCTCAAGGATACTTGTGAAGCGTGTGGACAGCAACAATGGCGTTGTGTCCTGTAATCCCATATATTGTATAGTGTATCGTGCATATGTATGTGTGTGTGTGTGTGCGTGTGTGTGTGAAATTGAAACGAAACGGAACAATGGTGAAATGTCAAGTTTAATTGTTTGTCTGTCATTAGCGCACATTCGCCCAACAAAAAATACACATTCACCCAGCGATGCAGCCAGCGATGCATGGATTTTTTGCTCTCTGCTAATTTTGTACAATTAAATTTGCCTGCTTCTATGTGTGTGGGTGTGTGTGTGTGTGGGTGTGTGTGGCGGTGTGGTGGTGGGGGCGGCTAGGCCGAAACGAAACAAAAGAATCAAATGCTGTTACAATAACTTGCGCCGCGCTTATTTGCGGCAAACTCTCTCAAGCGAGCCACTTAAACAGCCTCACGCTCGGCTGAATATGTTTTGATTAAGCCAAGTATAACGAACACATTTCAGCCAGGACGACGACGACGACGACGACGACGACGAATGGGTGGCATGAGTCCTACGAAAGTGAGTCTCACTTTCCACAGCCGACTGCCTACCGACTGCTGCCTACTGGCTACTGTATACTGCCTACTGGCTTTTGAGTGGATTGATGGTTGGGTGGTTTGGATGGTTTGGATGGTTGGGTGTGTGTATCCATGGGCCCGAGGCACGTTTATATACGCCATCGACCGCTCTGGTCAGGCACTGGGCCGTGTGAATGACATGAAATCGTCGGAGGTCTCTTCCCACCTTTCCACCTCTGCACCCACACGCCCCTCCAATAATGTGGTGCGTTTCTTTATTTTTAAAGTGCTGGAATGTTCGGGGCAGTGAGTCCTTGGTGCTGCCATGACTGTGCACTGTGCGGTTTGTATCGAGTCGCTGGCACGCACGCAACTCCCGAAGCGAAAACATAACCTGGGCGGCACAGTGGATCACCAGGGGCACAAGAGGTGCGATTCGGTTGACCCTTGCGGTTACCTTACAGCCGCTAAACATTCCTGGGAATTGCACATCCTACTTTGGTTACCACTCCGACGAATGATTAACTGCCAGACCAAATCGTATATTTCCGATTTCAGGTAGTTTCTCATTAATTGTTCATGGAACATAGCAATATAGTAATGTATGTATATATAAATGGTCAGACAAACTCTTATATTCAGTTGTTATGACCCCTTTGTTAAAATATATTTATAATTAACTTAAAGCCTAATTGTATCTTTTTCCTGAATATCCATCGTTCAGTCGGTTTCTTGTGAAACTCTTGGCACTTTTGGCAAGTTCTTAATTAAAAGGCATTCTGATTTCATGATCTTGAACTTTTTAATTGTCTGCTTTGGCACATTTCAATTTGGTCGAGAGGCAAGTGTGGACACAAGTCAACTATCGCCCGTTATATGTATGTATGTATGTATTGTATGTATGTGTTATGTACGTGTTATACTGTCAATGCAGTCCAAAGATCGTCGTCCACTGTGCCATTATGGGCCTATACACTGGCAGCATATGGAATGACCACAGCACAAGGCCTTATGCCCAAGACTTGGTTTATTTTCTGTTTGTTCGGGAAGTCCGGCAGTTCAGTTCCGTTCCGTTCAGTTCAGTTCAGTAAAGTTCGGACTAGTCCAGTCCAGTCCATTCCAATTGGAAAGGGAGAAGGAGAATCAAGGGGGGGGTGCAAAGGGGAGAAAGAGGAAAAAGGGGAGAAAGGGGAAAAAGGGGCCTTTGGGGTTTCGGTTTTCAGTTTGTCTTGACATGCATCAGCATCATTATTTTGTGCTTTTAATGTTTTATTTAGCCTGGTTGCCGACAGCCATACGCAGTGTGGCCCCAAAAAAGGGGGGCTGGATACTGTGTGCATGTGTGGGTGCTGTCTGACCGCCTGCGAGCGATGCCTACGTGCCGTTTGCACTCATTTCTTGCCAGGCCTTCTTCCTCCCTCTCTTTCTCTTGCCACTCTACCCCTCCCTGTCTCCATTCACTATACCCCTCTTTTTCAGTCGGTGGGAGGGAACCATTTGCAACCAAGCACTCAAACAACATTTAAAAAGGCCTCATTTTCATGAGCTGTTGTGTGTGTGTGCCAGGATGACGATGGCGAGGATGAAGATGGGGATTCAGAGGAGTATATATATATATATGTGTGTGTATGCCACTCGGCACATAATTGTTTGAAACAAATGTAGTGCACACACATACGAGTACACGTTCCCATACACATGTGCACCCATCCACACCCACACCCACAGACACACACACAGACACCGGCATGTGGGATATTTTATTAGGCCATTCAGTTAGTCAGTCATTTAGTCAGTCAATCAAGCCGGGCAGGCAATTAAAGTTTCACTGCCCATTGTCGGAAGCCAAAGGCAACAAGAACAACCAGTGAGAGCGACTGCAAAAAGAGGCAAATAAACACATCAAATGGCCTGGCAAACAAGGCCTCGGCTCAAAAGGGTATCGGTTGGCAGGATGTGAGAGGAGGATCGGTACGAGGAAGGGAGTGGCCACGAGCTGGGGAAAATCCTTTCAGATAAATGAAATTCCCCAGAATCGCCCCCAATGAGAACTTGATTAATAATGAATTGAACAGCACAGCCGGAATTTAATATCTCTACCACTAAATAAAACTGTTACATAAGCCTCTTGGTTTAGTGGTAAACTGATAAATAACTAGTTGCATTCAACTTTAATCAGTATATGTGGGGGGGGGAATACTTTTTAGGTCGCAATACTAAAGAACTGTAGCGCTTAGCTAGGTGTTTTGGGGGCTCTAATATAGGTAACTAAAAACTACACGAAACCTAATACACATAATTGTTGAAAGCTCGTCTGAACACCTGTTTTGCAAATTAGTACTTAATTACATGCGGGATTTGTTGTAACAACTGATGAATTTTCCATTAAAAATATTTATTATTTTGACTGTTCTATAACCTGTTATACTAATGAACCATGGTTGATGAATACTAATAAATTCACTGCATCCCCTTCTTTAATTGAATTAAATAGGAGAATTAATGTTGTTATCTGATCCATAATTAATTAGCATTTTGACTGTCATTTAAACTGTCATACTGAATCAAAGCATTACAAAGTGGATTAATATAAACAATTTCATCTTCCGAGCTAAACAGCCCAATTAACCGTTGTTGTTGCAACATTTGTCTCATCTTTTTTCAGGCCTATCCCAATCGAGACATAACCAATATTGTGGAGTCATCCCACTACCAGAAGATCGGCGGCTGGTGTCGTCAGGGTGCTCTAAATGCGGCCAAGTGCAAGGGCTCCCACCGCTGGATCAAGCCATTCCGTTGTCTCGGTGAGTTATCATCAAATAGTGTAGTTAGTGTCTAGTCCAAAGGGACCAACAAACTGATCCGTTCTCCTACGCTCCTGTGCTCCTCTGCTCCATCATCCGTTGCCTTCAACACCAAACTTTAAAATTCGACTCCAATTCGACTCCACTCCACTCCACTCCATCGCGACCACTCGACGACGTTTGGCTTCAGAAGGACCATTCCAATCGGACGCCCTGTTGGTGCCGGAGGGCTGCCTGTTCGACCACATCCACAACGCCTCCCGCTGCTGGCCATTTGTGAGGTGGAACCAAACCGGAGCGGCTGCTTGCCAGGAGCGCGGAATGCAGATGCGCTCCTTTGCCATGCTCCTGCCCTGCGGCATCTCGCTTTTCTCCGGCGTGGAGTTCGTCTGCTGTCCCAAGCACTTCAAGAGTGAGTACTGACCAGCAATATATATCTATGCACCATTCCCATTGCCGTTTGTCGTTTGCCGTTTGTTGTTTGTCGTCGGGCGTGTCACACTCCAGTCTTTTGAGACTTGTGACAGAAATATGATATTTTGCAAATCCAACGGACATATATATTTTTTATATTTTTTGCAATCCTTTTTAAATAGTCGATGCAAAGCCATTAGTCACTTTAACCCTGTGGTTATGCCATTAATTATTCAAAACGCAAATCAAATGCGCAGAACAAACAAATGTGCCATTACCCACTCTGTCATTAGACATTAAGCGAATCAGTTAGAGATTTATTTGTTTAGGGATATTATTGTTGTGTTTGCCTTCATTTGGCTTTTCATTCCACAGTTAAGCCTTGGGTTTTCTATGCCAATTAGCCAATTTTTTGTTTGGCCTTTGTGTAAATATTTGAAAATGAAGGACCTTTTTCTCTCTCAGCCGATGAAATCCACGTGAAGAAGACCGACTTGCCGGTGATGCCACCAGCCCAGATAGCTAGTGCCAATGACGAACTGGTCGTCAACGACGAGGACGATAGCAATGACTCGAACTACTCGAAGGATGCCAATGATGACGAGCTGGACGACGAGGATGATCTGATGGGCGATGATGAGGAGGACGAGATGGTGGCGGATGAGGCAGCTGCGGCAGGCGGAAGTCCCAACGCCGGATCATCGGGGGATACCAATAGCGGCTCCTTGGACGACATAAATGCGGAATACGATAGCGGCGAGGAGGGTGACAACTACGAGGAGGACGGTGCAGGTTCCGAGGGCGAGACGGAGGGTGAGGCCTCCTGGGATCAGAGCGGAGGATCCAAGGTGGTGGCCGTCAAGGGTGGCTCTGCCTCCGCGTCGCCGTCCAGCGTTCCGCTAGCTCCCGCCTCCGAAAAGATGCCCCTTAAGTCGGACATGGTCACCAGCACCCCTCAGCTTTCCGTTGCCGCAGCAGCAGCTGCCAATGCTGGTAACTTGGGAGCTGGAGCTGCAGCTAGTGCCGGAGTTGTAGCCGGAGTACCACCACCATCCACCGCTCAGCCAACTTCGGATCCCTACTTCACCCACTTTGACCCGCACTACGAGCACCAGAGCTACAAAGTAAGTCAGAAAGTAAGTGTTTACGTTGAGGGCGCAGGTTTATTTATCGATGCAACACAAAACGTATTCTAAACAAAGGAAGCCCAACAGCGCCTTGAGGAATCGCACCGCGAGAAGGTCACGCGTGTGATGAAGGACTGGTCCGATCTGGAGGAGAAGTACCAGGATATGAGGCTAGCGGACCCCAAGGCAGCCCAATCCTTTAAGCAGCGGATGACGGCTCGCTTCCAGGTCAGTCATCCTCCGTGTGACGCACTCATCTCTCCCCATTTCAACACCCCCCTCTCTCTCTCTCTCTCTCTCTCTCACTCACTCACTCTTCGCATCTCTCTGTCACCCTGTCTCTGTCTCGCACCCAACCCTCCACCACCCCCCTATCTCTGTCTCCATCCGACTGCCTGCCACCCATCCTATTAGACTCTTTGAACTATTTAAGCGCTATATCTCTGCATCTGAATGTGTGTGTATGTCTGCGTCTATATCGGGGGCTTCACTTGGCAAGGGATCGATCAAATGTGATTGGCAACCATCGAATTAATTAGTTATAACTATGCAAGAGTGATTACTCAAAGGCGGTAGATAAGTGCTTAAATCTGGTTATATTAACGATCGTTTTAATTTACCACCAATAAATAACCCTTGCCAACTAAAGTTACCCGAGTTATGGGCCTCATAACAAGTATTCATACCATCATGTAGTGCCTAAATAGACCACATCATAAGCGTTTATCATTTTATGAAGTTGGTTTTTGTTTCCATTTTAAATACCCCTTATCATGCACCCTGTATATCGTAATCGTAATTGTTTCCTACTCTAACCGTAATCGTAGCTCATTGAGTCGTATTTGTCCGGCATTAAGTTGTGCTCATTGTATCGCCTGCTTTTTGTTTGCTGCACTTCGGAGTCCAGAGGTGTGCTTCGTAATACCCATCTATGGGTCTTAACATAACCCATCACTCTGGGCATCGTTGGGCAGATTTATGTTTATTTGTGTATCCATATGTATGGCAAATGGGAGCGAAAGAGGCATCAGATTGTAATCACAACAGCAATAACAATAACAATACCAGTAACAATAACGATAATGCTGCTCGTAATCTAACCAGTTAACGAAATACCGCTACAGCAACGAAACAATAGATCCAATTATCCATATTACTAACTAACATTGAAAGTGCTTTGTAGTTGAACTGATTGGCATATAAACTAACTTTAATTCGCCTATACCCTACCTACACGTAAACCTTAACCAATTCTTAGTTTCGACGTCTGTTTTATTTCGATACCAACTGATCCCCATCTCCGATCAAAAACGAACACGACCAAAAGCCAAACCTTGGATATCCTCAATTCGGTCCTTATCGATGTGTATTGCTCGCATTATAGACCAATACTTGCTGCTTACGTAACCGCTGCGCTTTCGCAAGCATCGCTACTGCCGGGAATGAACTGCATCCATGTATATATACCATATACCATAAATCCGACCCAATTCGATCCCTGGACAGGATCATTCCAATCCAAACATTTTTGCACCGCATCAGTGGCTCGCACTCTGTCTCTCTCTCTCTCTCTCTCGCTCGTTCCCGCTCCATCTCGCTCCCCCATGGCAGCACAAACTCTGTAGCAGCACTACACTAAAGAAAAAAAAAGAAAATCTAGCGAGAAACCAACCACTTAATTCCAAAATTCAGGACCAACCATGCGAAATTTCCCCAACCCAAAAACAACATTTTAAAACACAAACATTTCACAAGATACGTACGAGTCGAGGAAATTTTTTTTGGAAAATTTAAACGATTACAGATTAATCAAAATACCGATAGACCGATCGAGAACTGCATATTGTTATCGATCGACGCAAATTTCCCATGCTGATAATCTTTCTCTCTTGGTGTGCAATACGTCTTTATATGGGAATGTAATTTTAGACTTCTGTTCAGGCACTCGAGGAAGAAGGCAACGCCGAGAAGCACCAGCTGGCCGCCATGCACCAGCAGCGAGTTCTGGCCCACATCAACCAGCGGAAGCGGGAGGCCATGACCTGCTACACCCAGGCCCTCACCGAGCAGCCCCCGAACGTGAGTAGTCGCCTCTGACGGAAGGTATCCTCAGAGGGATAAGTCCAGACACAAGGTGGGGTCGATATTTAAAGGATTCATTAGGTTCCCAAAAGAGTTTAGCATTAATTAATAGCAAAGATAGAAAGTATATTAACGTTCAATCGAGAACTTGCTGGGGTGTATTTCATTTTGATCATTGTTCATGTTCACTTCAAACGTAACTTCAACAGGGGGCGCCAATTATTTGTTGGACTATTAAGAGCTCATGTAACCCTTATTTTTAAAGAAATTTATTGAATGTTTGCTGAAAGAAATTAAAACCAATTCCTTTTAAAAAATGTTGACCAATATACAGAATTATGTTTACACAATTGTTTAAATTGTAGACTGGATTACTAGAGTCAGATTAAGTATGAGCGGACGAACAGCCGGACATGGCTTGATCAATTCTTTTAGTGGTGCTTATCTATTATATTCTTACTTTACATTGTTCACTTTTAATTGCAATTTTAATAGCCTTTGGCAAGGGTATAAAAATATAAGTAAGTGTCTTACTTGTAAACAAATGGTTATGACTTTTTGGCTTAATGTCGGTAAAAAAAAGAGGCTCCGTAATGGGATTTCCATTTTTTTCTGTTAATAAATAAATCAAAAAGAACCCCACTTCAATGCCCTTAATCTCGTCTAGGCCCACCACGTTGAGAAGTGCTTGCAGAAGTTGCTGCGCGCCCTGCACAAGGATCGGGCTCACGCCCTGGCCCACTATCGGCACCTGTTGAACTCCGGAGGACCCGGTGGTCTGGAGGCAGCTGCTTCGGAGCGACCACGCACTCTGGAGCGACTGATCGACATCGATCGTGCCGTCAACCAGTCGATGACCATGCTGAAACGCTATCCGGAGCTGTCGGCCAAGATTGCCCAGCTGATGAACGACTATATACTGGCACTGCGCAGCAAGGACGACATTCCCGGCTCATCGCTGGGCATGAGCGAGGAGGCGGAGGCCGGCATCCTGGACAAGTATCGCGTCGAGATCGAACGCAAGGTGGCCGAAAAGGAGCGCCTGCGCCTGGCCGAGAAGCAGCGCAAGGAGCAGCGGGCCGCCGAGCGGGAGAAACTGCGCGAGGAGAAACTGCGAATGGAGGCCAAGAAGGTGGACGACATGCTCAAGTCGCAGGCGGCCGAGCAGCAATCCCAGTCGCCCCAGCCGTCATCCCAATCGCAATCGCAAGCGCAGCAGCAGCAGCAGCAGCAGCAGCAGCAGCAGGAGAAGAGTCTGAGCAGCAAGGAGCTGGGTCTCGACAGTGGTTTGGTCACAGCGGCAAATCCCAACTTGGAAACAACCAAGAGCGAGAAGGAGCTGTCGGATACTGAATACGCCGAGGCAACAGTAAGGTCAGTAAGGGTATATCCTGGAGTACCAATTGCTATTAATCCTTGGCTAACATCGCGTCTACTCCATACTGTATTGTAGCAGCACTAAGGTGCAGACCGCGCTGCCCACGGTCGATGACGATGCCGTCCAGCGGGCGGTGGAGGATGTGGCCGCTGCCGTCGCTCACCAGGAGGCCGAGCCGCAGGTGCAGCACTTCATGACCCACGACCTGGGCCACCGCGAATCGGTATTTGAGCTGCGGCGCCAACTCGTACCGCATTTGCCTAAAGCCTATCCCCTATCTTTCTCTCCCCTATCGTTGCAGAGCTTCTCGCTGCGCCGCGAGTTTGCGCAGCATGCGCACGCGGCCAAGGAGGGCCGCAACGTCTACTTCACGCTCTCCTTCGCCGGCATCGCCCTCATGGCGGCCGTCTTTGTGGGCGTGGCCGTGGCCAAGTGGCGGACATCGCGTTCGCCTCACGCCCAGGGCTTCATCGAGGTCGATCAGGTGGGTTGTGGTCAAGGTGCGGAGGGCAGAGATCACCGTAGCACAGTGCATTTAAAAAAAAAACAGGGTCAATGTTGTCTATGAGAATCTTTTTGTATAACAGTTTTATAGTGTTTCTTAGTGATGCCACACAGGAAAAGAGACAATTCAATACAAAATATATATTTTGTGTATATTTTGTTACTACTGATCTTCTTAACTGGCAAAGTTCATGCTGTCTTAAGCACCTAGAGATTAAGGGTGCAAAAAAGTGATATAACAGTCTCCAAAAGAATAGAAAATTTATTTAGTTGCTTCTGTAACTTATTTCCTCATACTTATGTGTATAACAGATTTTGTTTTTATCTCAAAGACTGATTAGGTTAATTGTTTTTCTTAAGTCTTGTTAACAACGTGTAGACAACAGATTGACTAACTTAAATTCGTCAAAAACTAGTATATTTTTATAAAGTTTTACAAAAGCTTTCTAAATTCGTACATTTTAAATATCTCTGCCTCCTTTATCAAACCTATGTGACATTGTTCTTCTGCAAAACATTTAATTCATTAATAATTTAATAAATTTATTGATATTCCAAAACAGAATGTGACCACACACCATCCCATCGTGCAGGAGGAGAAGATCGTGCCCAACATGCAGATCAATGGGTACGAGAATCCTACCTACAAATATTTCGAAGTGAAAGAGTAAGCGGGACGGCAACAGGGGCGCGGCTGGCTAGAGCAAGAGCGAGAACGCGAGCGAGCGAGAGGCACACATCAACAGCAAAAGCAGCAGCAACCACAATTTCAAAATGGAAAAACTTAAGCATAATATTTAAAGCAGATGGGAAGAGAAATGATTTTTTTTTCGTCAAGAGGAGCGCAGTTCCAATAAGGAGATTCGAGGGGTAGAAGAAGAAAGATAAATTCAATGAATGGTAATATATCTATATATTAAATTAAAGCAAGCAAGCAGAAGGCAAGAATATAAAGCAAGCAATTAAATTTAAGTATTTGAATGTTTAACAAAATGCAGTAAACATCCTTTCTAGCTCTCTCTCTCTCTCTCTCCCTCTTTCTCTCTCTGTCCCAATCAACAACTCTGTCCCTTTCCCACGCACACATAATCAGATTGCAAAACTTTGTGATTCTTCTTAATCGCCAAAAATAAAAGAGAGAGAACTAATAGCCAAAGAGGCAAGCGTAATTTCGTGCAATGGCAACTCGGAATAAAAGAAAAAAGTTAAAGCGAAATTGCAAGAATCACACACAAACACACACATACAATCGAAAAAGAAAGGAGGAGCAGGCGGAGGAGAGGAAAGAAAAGAGAGCAGAAGAAAAGCAAACGCAAAACAAAAAATATTCCTAGTAAATAAATTGTCAACACACACACACACACACACACACATTCTCACACCGACTCACTCATAATTACAGGAACAGTCACAGATACACACTCACTCACACACACACACACACACATACGCATTCATGGCTGCTTCGTAGCATACTTTTGAGCGTTTCTTGGCGTTGAAATGCTTGCAAGCCGATCGCAATTCTTACCGAACAAAAACTTACGCCATTAATTAGAGCCGCGCTAAGAGCTAGAAGAAGAAAGCAGGACACAGAAACACAGATACACTCACACACTGAGACACATGTGAACCTTAGAGCTACCTACGCGTACTAATCTCTATACGAACGTGCATATGCGCTTATGTATATGTATAACACTTTCTCTCTTAACCACACTTTACACCCACATACACACACACACTCTTCAAACACCAGACGAAACGCAAAAGGCAAATGCAAATGCAAAAAAAACCCAACAAATTATATATACACATATATAAATATATATATATATATAAATATATATATACAATATATTTAAAGCAAAGCAAGAAGAAATGTCCATAAATGTATTTATGTATCTATACACGAGCCACACAACCCAAAAGGTCAAAGGTCAGCTAGATAAGGGGAAGAATTACGATGCTTGGCAGGCTATCAAATTAATATATGAATCAGCTACGTAACAGAAACAATGCAAAACGCTAAGCTAATTGCAGACAGAAACCAAAAAAAGAAAAAAAACAAAATGAAAACGAAAAGCGAAAAACTTTTAGAACTTTTTCTGCATATTTTGTGTGTAAGTCGGTGGCATAAAAGAAAATGTTTTTTCTCTTTTTTTACGTTACATGTTTCACTCAAAGGCCAGCACAAAACACTCACACCCCCAAAACACACACACACACACACACACACACACACACACTCACACACACAGGGAAAAAAGCCCTTGAGAAGTCGTTGCATTTCATTTTTAAAACCTTCGCAACTGTTTGCATAATTTCCTTAGAGCCAAATGCCAACGAAATCTGATAAGCAGGGCCCCAAATAGAGACGGAATCGAAATCGCAAAAATCCGGGGAGGTCGGAGACGGGCGAATCCGGAGACGGAGACGGAGACGGCACCACCTAGAGTGGACGCTCCGAAGAGCCCCAAAGATAAACCATTTCGAAACGGCTAGTTTCATTTCTCAACTCGATTGCTTGGCAAATATTTGGCCTGCTTTGTTCGAGCAGCGAGATACTGTTACTCAATCAAGCCAAATAATCGAAATGCTTTCCCCTCCCTCCCCCCCCAAAAAAAAAAAGCCGACGAGCGGTTGCCCTTCCAAATTCAATTTTCATTCAAATTGAAGCACAAATCGGAATTTAAGTAGTAGCTATCAAACTATCATTTCCCTTGACAAACAAATTGGTAAAATATCAAATTATTGAATTTAAATTGAATCGGAAGATAAAAACCGATTTAATCAAAAGTGGAGCAAAAAAAAAAAGAGTAAATCATAGTTCAAAATGGTTACTCCAAGAGCTAAAATTGACGATAGGATAAAAACTGAAATGGTTTTGAAATTAAATTGAAATTTGAATCAAGTGAAATCAAGTTAAAATTACACTGGACTTTCGAGTTAAGCATTTGGATTGACATTGAAACACACATTAAACCTAAAACTTTAATTGATGCCAGGATAAAAGCTGAGGTTGAAATGAATATTACTCTGAAGAAGGTGAATTAAAGCTTAAAACTATGTTATTTTGGAACTGATATTGCACCAAAAAAAACAAAAATCTAAAGTTTGAAAATTGTGGTTGAATAAGGTTGCACTGAGTAATTCGAAAGTTAAATCGGAAATTGAGATTCTGAATGAGATTTAAAGTGAGAATGAACTCATAATTAAAAGACAACTTAAACTTTGCAACTAGGTTTAAACTGAAACTAAAATTGAAGCTGTAATTGAAGTTTATTTGAAAATTACTGCGATCGAAAATTACTTTCGATTAAGATACAGGAAACAGAACTAGAAACTGAGATTAAAAAACTAATATAAATCAAATTCAAAATAAATGCCTCAAATTATTCAGAAACTGGAGTGCAATTTCAAAAGACATCCGATATTGATACTAAAATTGAAACTGGATGAAACTGAAAACGAAGTTGTAATTGTAAGTGAAACAAACCTTGCAATTTAAGCTGAAATGTACAATAAAAACAATTGTTATGAAAATTTCAGTTAAAACCATAATTTATTTGCTTAAATCGAAGATTGGCAAAAATTAAGGTTTTGATTATTATTTTCATATCAATTTCACTTAAAATTCAAAGTGTGAGTCAATTTGGATTACAATTTAATTTCAATTTCTGAGCATCAAAATTAGTGACGATTTCAATTTTGAAATGGATTTCAATTTCCGACTCAGTTGAAATGTTTATTTTGGACATTAATTTCTAGAAGTGTTTTAATACAGATTCAGCTCAGTTAAAATTCTTATCTCGAATTCCAATACAGCTTTGCTTTCAGACTCAATTTAAGCCTGAACTTGTCAACCCCTTTTTCAAGTTAAGCTCCCTTTATAGAGGTATTCATATCTATTTCAAATGATAAACAACATCAGGATTGTTCAAAACGCTTGGCTATAATGAAAGCATTTCTTAGGGTTTTTGTCCCAGTTTTAAAATCAGGTCAATTTTAGTTTTTCAAGGCAAACTCAAGGCACTCCCCACACAGACACACGCGCAGACAGAACCAGACACATTATATAATGCTAAATGTATTACAACAATATATATACATCTATATATATACAAACACATATATATTTCAACACAAACAAACAAAAAGGCAAATCAACTACACAAAAAGTAAATAAGAAGAAAATCTAACTAGTCAAAGCTTGAATATTTTTTAATTTATTCATTAATACAACAAGAACAACAAAAACAAAATGAAAAGTATACATATATATAAAAACCAACAAAAAAAACAACAACAAAAAAAGAAAAAAAAACAATTGATATTTACACTTAGTGAAGCAAAAAAACAAAACCAAAAAACAAAAAACAAAAAAAGCGGAAAGTAAAAGCGAAAAAAAAAAACAAAAAACAAAAATGATGCAAATGTGTAAGAAATAAACCCCGTCCTGCATAAATAAAATTAAATAAAAGAATAAAATAAATGGAAACGTAAAGAATATCATAAAACAGAAAAGATTTACACAAAGATTAAATGCAAAAGAAACAAACAAAAAAAACGAGGAAGCAACAACAAGAAAATTATTATGAAAATCGCATGTGTTTTTGTCGTAGTCTCATCATTGAAAACCAAGTGAAAAGGAAAAAAAATTGAAAGTAAAACAAAAACAAAAACCAAGTAATTTGTAACGAGAAAAAAAACAGCAAATAAGAGCAAAAATTTGTGTAATTCTTTTTGTCGAACTATGATTTTTGCCCGAGCGGAGAACTCAGTTGGAGAAAAGTATAAGAAAATTTAAATATTAAATGTACTCAAAGACAATTGTAATTGCAACAATAATTGTACGCTATATATACTATTATTAATGTGGAAAAGATTTCAGCATTCGGCCCTGGCCATTGGCCCCCGATCTTTGATCTTTGATCTTTGATCGGGCGATCTGCGGTTCGCGTCGATCTCTACGGATCGATAATGTTTTGGGCATGATTACCATATAGCCCAGGGGCGAAGGACCCAGGAAAAGCCAGGAAATTGTATAATGTTTCACACAAAAACCGAATGATGGAAAACCAAACATAAAACATAAGAATGCAAAGGAAACAAACAACAACAACAAAACAACAACAACAACAACAAAGAAAACAAAACCAAAAAAAAAAAAACAATTTTCAATGTATAATCATATAATTTGATTTTAAATTTTTGTGTTCTTTTTCGAAATATTTTGCATAAATAAAATAAAATAACAGAAAAACAAACAATCATTCGCGAGAATCAATTTACTACAGTGGCGGTGTATTTTAGGTCCAAATTACCCCAAGATTACTATGATTTATTTCCCGCGATCGGTCATATATTTAATCGATAACCCATCGAAACCTAATCAATTTTCTTGCCTTTATTTTGGATTAGCATCGATAATACGTACGTGGGGTCAGCTAAAAGCAGATGGAATTTATTTGTTCTAGCTTGGGTATAAAAATTAAGAGCATTAATAAAAGTTATGTTTAAAATATTGTGAAATGTTATTTTACTTTTATGGCATCGAAAATATTTTAAGAATTTCAGATTTCATTTAATAACAATACAATTCGCTGTCAATCTTTAAATCCTGAAAAGAACTACGGCTGGTAAGCTCCGAAATCCACTCAAAGATAGCCAAAGCCTTATGCCAGAAGGTCTGGCTCGTCAACCAAAACCGGACCATGAACAGCCAGATATTGATATACCATATACCCTATACCCCAGAGACCCCGAAGGAACATCCACTTAATGAGTTTGACTTCTAAGCGGGGGCTGGGTTACACCGGCGTACATGTGTGCGCGCTCATTATGAGTTTCAACTTCGAGTGCGCTAACAAGCCTTTACAATAAATCACTTGAAAAGGTATATGTGAAATCAATGTAAAGCACTTCAGTCTATCAAGTGTCCGGAGCATGGAAATTGACGTACATTTTGATATATGGGCGGTTGGTGCTGCTTCAGCTGCTTCAGCTTCTGGCTGCTTTTGGTTTGCTTTGGCTTTTCTGCGGCGTTGGTTGGTTGGCTGGTTGGTTGGTTGGTTTGCTTTGGTTTTGTCGTTCGCTTTATAATGGAGCACCGTTTTTGATCGATGTGAAACTTCGTAAATGTGGAGCACGGACAGCGGGCAACGGATGACGGATAACGGACAAAAAAAAACGGACAAGACGGACAGATAGTGATCTGTTCGAAATAGTTCGAGTGCCATGGTGGCTTTGTTTTTGAATTGCCTTGCCTTACCTTACCTTACCTTGCATTGTGAAACTTTCCAAAGTGCATTCTGCATTCTCAAGAGTGCCCCACACAAGTGGCCCCTGTCCGTTGTCCGTTTGTACCATTGTCCGTTTGTCCGCTACATGACAAATGACAAACAACACACTTGCCGGGCGTGCAGTTCCTCTATCGGAACAATGTTACCTACCAAGTAGATAGAGATATAGGCGCAGATAGAGCGACAGACAACTTTGAAATGCACTTGAGCGTATTGGGAACTCGAGAACATGTGTGTGTGCTTTTTTTTATTATTTTTGTGTCGATGAAGGCG